ATCTACATTTATATACGTTACAAATTTACTAAGCATAACTATTAATTTTTGGCAGATTTTGACGTAATTCTGGGTTCTTTTTCATCCAAATACGTCAATTTATTTTGCTCATGCTAGGTCTCGAAAAAGCACTATATAAATTTCAGGTTTATTTATTTATTTTTTTATCTATAAAGATGAATATGTTAAAATTCATCAACACTTTGAGAAGAAAAATCTCAAGTTGATGTTAAAAATTAGCGGAATTATTGTTGATATAATTAAGATGAAATGTTATATTACGTCATGTATTTAGGAAATTGAAATATAGTAGAATGGGTGATGACGTATAATAGATGCGTGAGTGGCGACACGAAACCCTTACTCCGGATCTGATGGTGACCACGTATCTTTTCTTCTCGTGTGTCAAGCTGAAAACAGCCATATTTCTCTCTCTCTCTCTCTCTCTCTCTCTCTCTCTCTCTCTCTCTCTCTCTCTCTATATATATATATATATATATATATATATATATATATATATAGATAGATAGATAGATAGATGATGTATATGTGTATGAGAGAGTAAATAAATATAAAATAAGACACAGAAATGGATTTGTTATATATATATGTGTGTGTGTGTATATATATATATATATATATATATATATATATATATATATATATATATATATATATATATAGCACTATATTATCCATGCCAGCACTGTATGTGTAATATATATATATATATATACATATATATTCTTTTTATTTATTAAACTAATGGATTGTTTCACTATAATTTGCAGTCTATTTCATATAATAAACACGGTCTACATTCAACCATTTGCCTCTTATGCGATGTAAATCGATTATAAATTTGATTGAATTTTACAAGTTTCATCATATTAAACTGCAATAAACATTTTCTTGTATAAAGAATATAATTTGCAGAATTTATTCAAAGCTTACAAAAAGGATAACAGGTGCATTGTAATCCTGATAATGTCATAAAGATGAAACATTATGTGAAATATATGTTCATGAGATAAAACTACTTTCAGAATTCGTTTATCAATATATGCTGCCATATTTTTTCTAAGGTGAAAGATGACAGAACGTTCAAGAAAGTATTAAAAACATCTGCTTTAAATATCGATTATAACTTGTCTTTGTAAGAGTGGGGTTCTAATATGGAAAAAGAGCTATACATTTTTGTCTATATATATAAATCTAAAAGTCATATTCCATAGCAACATATATTTGATTAACTTAGATCTATATATCAGTATAAATTATTATCTTTTATTTTCCATGTTAAAAAGGATTTGATATTCTATGATATTCATCTATCTTTCAGCCTTCGATTGTGCTGTCTTACAGCTTTGATTCCCGTGTTTCTTTCGGCAGTTTTCTTCATTTGAATATTGTTTTTTCTTTTAATAATGTGCCATTTATTTTCTATTAGAATAATATCTGGATAGTCTGGGTTAAATATCATAAATTTGCTATCGTTAAATATGTGTGGGCAAGATAGGAAATTATTATTCTTACAGAATGTCAAGCGGTATTCTCTTATTTGAAGATATTCTTTAGCTTAAAGCTCACTGGCTCATTGTTCCGTACCACTAAAATGACTGCATTTCCAAGATTCTATAATAATTCTATGTATATTCTTGTCACCATCGTCAACTTCGACGGGGGATATTTTGTTCTGCCTACAATAATAGACCAAATATTACACCTGTATCTTTTTCCAGTTCTTGTTGGCTATTTCCATGAAGGAGAAAACCACTCGCATAGTTATTACTCCTATCATATGTAGTTCATGTCTTACTCTAAAATTAGTTTTCATGAACGTCTTTAACAGCTTATGCGTTTCTCTTGTTGATATTTAATTAAAGGCGGTAGGTTTTTTTTCTTAAATATCTTTAGCCAATATTCCTAATTCTCTGGATCTTTTATCTCCTAATATTCTCGAAACTATCCTTTCAAATGCTTATTGCAAGTCGCTACACATTTTTTCATATATTATCCTTTAAGTTTTTCTCAGTTCTCATTTTTCACAGTCTTAAAGGAAATTTTCTCTTGTTTTGCCAATATTTTCAATTACTTTTCTTTTTAATTGTTCGGTTTCACTACTTCAAAATTGTACTTTCCAACAAAGAATTCCGTATCCTTAATAGATTTATAATATATTTCTTCTCTTTTGATCTGTTGTTTCCCTTAAGGTCCCTGACAAGCTTTATAAAATGAAAAGAAATAATAAATATCAGTAGATATTATTATTATTATTATTATTATTATTTATTTTCTTTGATTTCTGGCGTTTACAGATTTCTTCCCGGGTCCCTTGAGGGACCCCACAGTTAGAAATGGCATCATGACACTTTCCACTGACACAAAAAAAAAAAAAATTACATAGATAAAGCCCTTCGTAAAGTGTGGGCTGTACTTGTCAGAACAATTTTCTGTATCTCCTATAGGCATGAACTTCCAGGAATCCCTTCAATTAGTCTACTGCAATCTTTTCCAACCTGTCCTAGGGCTCCAACTACAACAGGGATTGTTGATGTTACCATATGCCACATTTTCGAGATTTCTATTTCAAGGTCCTTGTATTTTGACAGTTTTTTGAATATCTCCAAAGATACATTGCAGTCAGCAAGGACTGCTATATCAATAAGGAGGCACCGTTTTTGTTTGTGGTCTTTAATAACAATATCTGGACGGTTGGCTTTGCTTGTTCTGTCAGTGTGTATTGTGTAGTCCAAATAGAATTGTAACAGGTCCTATCTCCCAAACCGTGTCTGGGTGGTGTTCATACCAGTTTCTTTCAGTTTCCTTTCCGTAGAAGTTACAGATTTTCCAGTGCTGATATTGGCCCACTCTGTCATGTCTGGTTTTATATTCAGTGGCTGCCAACATCGTGCAACCTGATTATTATTATTATTATTAATTCCTTTGATTTCTGCAGTATAATCAGTTACTTCTTTGTCGCAACCAGAGACGTAATGCCAAAAACAGTATTAAAAAGTAAAATAATCTAAGCTCACAAACATTGTACACTGCTAAAGTTCTTCGTAAGGTGTGATCTCTACTTGTGAGAACAATGTTTTGTATTTCTTTAAGGCATGGGCCACCAGGGTTTTCTTCAGTTAGACTAATAGAATCTTTTCCGATTAAACCGATGGCTCCAACTACAACAGAACTTATTGATATATCCATGTCCCACATATTTTAAATTTACACTTTAAGATGCTTATAGTCATTTTTGAAGAATTTCAAAGATAAAATTACAATCTGAAAGAACTGCCATGTCAATAAAAATGCGCATTCTGATTTTGTAGCCATTGACCCCTATGTCTGGACGATTAGGTTTGATTATTCTGTCTCTGTGTTTTGCAAAGTCCCATAAATTTGTTACAAGTCCTATGTCTTTAAACGGGTCAATTATAATTATTATTATTAACATCATTATTATATTTCGATTTATGCTATCTTCACACTATATGTCAAGTCTAAAAATCTCTTCATATCTATCTATCTATCTATCTATCTATCTATCTATCTATCTATCTATCCAACGCTCTCTTCATATCTATCTATCTATCTCTATCTATCTATCTATCTATCTACATAATAATGTTTGAAGTAATAAGAATATCGGATTAAAAATAAAAGACATTAATTATTTTAAAATTTTGTTTATTTTCGGTTACGACACTGAGAAGATCTGAAGCGGATAATAGAACCTTGTTTCCTGTGACATTCTTCGTGAGCGAGGTGCAAACTGGATCAAACAATGGTTTCCCCTACAAAGAGGGATGCATGATCTATCCCTGCCGGATTTCTCGAATGCGGAGCTTGAGACACACATTAATCACTGTTTAATAGATAAAAAAATAAAAGTATCCACTATGATAACTTTTTCAGTAAGAATAATGTCGGATCAGAAATAAAATCGATTAATTCCTGAGAATATATATATATATATATATATATATATATATATATATATATATATATATATATATATCGTAAACATAATTAGATAATGGTCTTGATGTATTCATGGTAATTGTTTTGATGAGCTTTCCGCTTTAGTACCTAGAAATTACAAAATTAAGCGCAGTACTAGATTGACAGCAAGGTCTCATCATTTTACATTTCGAATTGTTAGATGTCACCGTAAGTTCTATGCTAAAAGTTTCTTCTCACGCACTTCTCACTTGATGAAATCTCTTCCCGCCTCTTACTTTCCAGTTTACTTTGAATTTAAAAAATTTAATTTCAATATCAATCGCTATCTTTTGTCTTCTTAATTCTTGTTCTCTCTCCTCGATAATGTTCTATTTTTTCTCATATTCTTTTACGCTTAGCGACCCCTTGCTTATTGGAGGCTTTATTGCCTTGTTTGGGGTGAAATGATTAAAAATATCTGTCACTATTAAATTGCGCAAGCTCAGTACACTTGATTTATACTTTTGCGTAATGTTTTATATGGCCGCTGCTTTCATATGCTTAACCAAGCGCCTCTCGGTGATGTATGTGTTTCGGTGTTGATCTAATTTGGACATGGACAAGTATCTTTGCATGTTTTCTTTTCAATTTATGTGAACGGAGTAGTATTAATGAGTATGTTTTAATTCGTTCAACTAAATAATCATATGAACTTACAGCTTCACTTGTTTTTTTTTTATGTATACTGTTGAATTGTAAGCAATCGACATATGCGTGTGAATGCCAAGAGGTGTTTGAGTAGAATCATGTCGAATAAACTATAATAATCCCGACAAGTTATCATATGGTGGATTAGCATTTATTTATGTGCGAATGTGTCTGCATGCGAGAGTAGGGGGCTAAAAAGGCACAAGTAAAAAGAGAAATCAGTACAAAAAGAAATGAGGGGAAATAAAATTAAAATGCTACTTTAGGAGAAAGAGGTGAATCTTAACGAGAAAGGAAGAGAATTTAAACGAAGGGAAAGATTAAAGTAAGAATCTGGAAAGGACGCCTCAAGAAAAATCAAATGTCATGGGAATATGTAAAGAAAGACGAAAAGAAAATGGAAGAATAGTATTGGAAAGTAAGGAGATAGAAGAAAAAGTATTTACCAGAAAAGAAGACGAAAAGATATTGAAAAAAAAAGTGTTTGCAATAAAGAAATATGAAAAGAAAAGGAAATAAAAAGTATTTGCAAGTAAAGAATGACGAAAAGGAAATGAAAGAAAAGTATCTGTGAGTAAAGAACGAGAAACAAAATGGAAGACAAGGTATCAGCAAGTAAGGAAAGACGAAAAGAAAATTGATACAAATATATTCCGAGTAAGTTGTGAAGAAAAGAAAATGGGAAAAATTTTATTTGCAAGTAAAGACGGGGTGAAAATTGAAGAACAATTATCTTTGAATAAAGATAAAACGAATAATAATAGACAAAAAAGTATTTACTAATAAAAAAAGCGAAAAGAAAATGGACGAAAAAGTATTTGTGAGCAAACACCAAAGGAAATATAACATAAAATATTTGGCAGAACAGTTAAAATGAAAATGGACGAAAAAGTATTTGCAAGTAAAAATGATGAAAAGAAAACGGAAGAAAATATATTTGCGAGTAATGAAAGACAAAAAGAAAATGGAAGAAGATATCAGCAAATAAGCAAAGACAAAAAGAAAATGGAAGAAAAGATATCAGCAATTATTAAAGACAAAAAGAAAATGAAGAAAAGATATAAGCAAATAAGGAAAGACATAAAGAAAATGGAGAAAAGATATCAGCAAATAAGTAAGGATAAAAAGAAAATTTGAAGGAAATGTAGCAGTAAATAAGGAAAGACGTAAAGAAAATGGATGGAGGCATATCTGCGAGTGAAGAAGACGGAAAGAAAATGGAACAAAATGTATCTTTAAGAAAGACAAAATGAAATATATGAAAGAAGCTGCCTCTAAATAACAAAGAAATCATACGAAAGTTTGAAAAATCTTGAATTAAGAAAGAGAAACATAAAAGAATCCAATTTACGAAGAGAATAAAAGGGTTTACTGATGCATAATAAAAAACAAACCTTTTGTGAATGACAGATGAGAACATTTTGGACGTAAGAGAAAGAAAATAATAATTTGAGAAATGAATGTTAGAGTTGATGATTTAAAGAGAGGACGGGCTATAGAGAAAAGATATGCCAATGACTTATATCAATAAATGTGGAAAAAAAGAACAAGAGCAATAGTCAGAGATTTACGAAGAAAAGAATGAAGGATGGGAAGCGTAATAGTTAAAACATCGGAAAATCTTCGGGAATGAAATAATGGAAGATAGAGTAAAAATTAAGGATAAAGGATAAAAGTAAAGGATATAGACAGAAAGAAAAACAAAGAGGCAAACAAATGAAAAAGATAAAAACCTATAAGTAAAAGACGATATATTTAGAAGGAAAAGGCAATCCTATGAATGAAAAAAAATAGATCATGAAAATAGATAGAAAAAAAAACGTTAAAAATGAATATATATAGAAACAAAAGAAGAAAAATAACTAAGAATAGACACACATAGAAATAATAAAGACAACGAAAATAAAAAATCAATAGACAAGCAAAAAGAGATAAATGGAAGGGAAAATAGGAGGAATGAAAAGAATATGGTTTGGGTTAAGAAAAGAATATAAACAAAACCCAAAAAAAACTATGAGAAAGCAAATATATAGAAAGAAATCAAAGTGTTTTGCAAAAGAATTATAAGCAAACCAAAAAGAAAAGGGAGATAATTTTTAGATAGTCTCAAAAGATTCTCGTAAATAATTATCTAGACACCTTGATTATTCACTCCGGAGGGACGACGATCGACGCTGAGTGTAAACTACAACCCACCCGCTTCACAGTTGGTTGCCCACGGCAATTTTATGTGCAGCTTCATTATAAAACCTATTCTTTGGTCTGTTCTAAATTCTTTTGCATCAAGGACGGAAGACCAGGCGAGCGTTTTATGCCCTCTTGACTGTCCTTCCTAGGAGAATTTTATGTCCTTCTCATATTTACGATATGTTATTCGTTCATCGCAAAAAAAAGCATCAGAGGCATCTATCTATCTATCTATCTATCTATCTATCTATCTATCTATCTATCTATCTATCTAGTACTTTTTTTTCACTTTTCTTTTCTTTTACTTTTATTTCTTTATTATATGAGTGTTTATTCTTTCTTTTCCTTTTTATCTCTTTTTCCTGGTCACTTTCTCCATCTCTTATGCACATCTTCCGTTTTCTTTTTCTCTTTCTTTGCTTTATTTCATTTTATCAGTTTTCCTCTCGTTGAGATACTTTTATTTATTGCTATTTGCACAAATGTGCGACTGTATATGTCCGGGGTGGGTTTTTATTTGTTTTTGTTTTTGTTTTTTTTTGCTTTCGTTCTTTGTTGTTTTTTTTTGTTTTTTTTTGGTTTTTGTTTTTTTGTAAGTCTTATTAGTAGTTGTAACGATATTATTTTATTAACGAATCCAGGCTTCAACTTTCAGAACGACGCATGATTGGTCCTTATCGTGTCACGTGACGCAGCTCTACTTGGTCAGTGATTGAAGCTCTCTCAAAGAAATGACAGTGAGTCGTCTGTTTTGAAGAATGAATATATGTAGAAATGAGGACACAAAAAGAATTACGGGAAAAGAGAAATAAAACGACAAGGAAGGATTTACTGCTACAAGATCAGAGTGGAAAAACAGGAAAACCTAAAATATTCAAAGACAGAGTCCCAGAACAGACGATAATTAAAACATATGATATGCGTGTTCTCAACGACATAAAAACGAAAGACTTAGAATAAATATGGAAGAGGTTCTTCAACAGATCAGTGGGAAAAGTATAAACGGAATAGACCATTTCGGAATAGTACAAAAACAGAGATCTCGTTTGGAATCAGTATTCTGTAGCCTCCATTCGTTGATATTGCAAAAGTTCTTACTCTGCCAAACCATTCAGACATACTATTACAGAAGGAATCAATGACCTATTTTGAAACTCAAAGATTTACTGATTTGAGACAGCAATGGATCTAGAGTAAAAATAATGTGGTTCTTATAATATCGGAAGTATACCAAATGGAATCTGTTTGTTTGTTTTGTTTTTGTTTGTTTGTTTTTTGTCTTGGAAAAGGTTGACTAACTAAAAAATATCCAGTATCAACCTACGATTCAAATTCTTCGTCGAATCAGAAGTTACTAGGAATCGGGAGCCATACAAAACAAAACTTATTTTAGAGAGATTCGCTTCAGCATTTCGAGTTTGCTGAAAGCAGCAACAAGACACATTACAATATTCCAATTTTTACATTAGTTGAGCTAGATATCTTACTCTTGAAAGAACCATGAAAATTCGCTGTAGAATGAAGCCACCAGCGTGAATTGAACGTGCGATCATCAGTTTACGAGACTAGCAAAGGAAGCTCGTGAATACGACCAATGCCAGAAGGAAAATGGAGAGTAAAGAGAAAGAAATAAACAAGGAAAACGAAAAAAAAAAGAAATGTGAATATTGGACTATGAATGAGTGATGGAAACAAAGTTGATAGTAAAAAGGATAGAAGGTAGTAACAATAAAATAAAAGACGACCACCAAAGAAATATATATTTTGACAAGAATTAGCAACAAAATAACTTTTATTGGGATTATAACAAGACATAGATAACTTTTTATGAGCTTTAAGAATGAAAGAAGTAAAAAGAGTGAAAGAAAGTAATCTCAACAAAGCACAACAAAAAGAAAAAGAAAATTCTAAACGTAAGAGAAATAAACGACGCTTGTTGCTGACTTACAGCCAGAAAACGACAATAAACCCCTTGGGATCAAAAACACACTTTGAGCTTCAGGCCAACATATATTTTGTGGTTTCAACTGAAGTCACAATATACATACTTCAGACATCAGACTACACGGATGCAATATATTTACGGAGTAGAAAAAGAAAGAAAGAAAAGAACACGGAGATTAATGCTATACGGAGTTTTTACAAAAACTGAGTAGGGAATTTGTTCGTTTCGTTTACGGATTTTTAATTTTACATCTGTGTATTATTTAATCATTTATTATTCAATTCTCACCTGTATACCTTCACAAAAAACAAATATTCATACATTCGAATACACGCTTTACTACGTTAATGATCATAGTTATCTATTTTAATTTTTTCATATCTATCTATCTATCTATCTATCTATCTATGTTAATCCGTTCATATCTATGTTATTGTTCATGTTCATATCTATCTATCTATCTATCTATCTATCTATCTATCTATCTATCTATCTATCTATCTATCTATCTATGCTAATCTGCTCATATTTATCGATCTATGTTAATCTGTTCATATATATATATATATATACATATTTGCATGTATATGTATTTGTGCATGTATATATATATATATATATATATATATATATATATATATATATATATACATAACAGAATGGGTAGGATAAAAAACTACATATACATATATATAGTTGCTAGTAGGTATAAATATATTTCTTCCTCAGGTGTTATAAATACAGTGCTAAATGTTATGAAACAGAGCAATAAGTATATATTAATAATTACACATAATATAGCTCGATTCGGAGTTTGATGCAGTTCTTGGCTGAAATCAGTAATTGATATTTTAAACAAATTATGTTTCCGAACTCAGGCATTAAATGTCCGCCAGAATATTTACAGTTTGGCTATCGGCGTTGCATATTCTTGACATATTTGCAGTGCATTTGCTTAATTACAAAATTTTTAATGTCTTCCTGAGTTCATTATATTTTCCACTTACATTCTCACATTCACACCCACATACAAGTTCTGTAATTTTATTTTTTATCTTACTAGCATGCACGCACACGCACACGCACACGCACACACACACATACACACACACATACATAATGTACGTATTTATTACTTCAAATGTTATTTTAATTTTTAGTGGTTTGCCGTATTTGAATAACAGGTTTGTTTATTATTAAACAGTATTTAAAATCGTCTACCGGCCTGCCACACACAATAAAAAATATTGAAGAAAATATGTCCTTAGATAGAATTCGAACGTGGGTACCCTGAATACAGGTATCCACAAAAATATTGATTAACGTAAGCAAAATAAGTCACTTAAAAAAATAAAATTAATTTAATTCTTTACACACACACATAGACATATATATATATATATATATATATATATATATATATATATATATATATATATATATATATATATATATATATATATATATATATATATAATTTTAAGAGAAAGAATGAGATAGGTTTGGAAGTGCGATGGAAAACATACAGATTCATCTTAAATTATTAAAGTTAATAAAACGACGGGAAAAGCGACTGATCAGCTAGCGAGCATGCGTGTCGTTTCCAGCAGGCGCATATCCTGCTCTCATCCTTCGTTGCTTTCCATCTTGACTGAACCCAAACGAATTTTTAGACGTTTTCTCTGTCTGTCCGTTTCTCTCCCTCCGTTTGTTTATGATATATATATATATATATATATATATATATATATATATATATATATATATATATATATATATATATATATATATATATATATATATGTTTAATGTATTTCAGTGTAGCTCTGTGAACGAGTGTAAATCAGAAAGTTAAAAGAAATCATGGTATGACATATATATATATATATATATATATATATATATATATGTGTGTGTGTGTGTGTGTGTGTGTGTGTGTGTGTGTGTGTGTGTTATTTACTAACGCCTGATGAGATGTTAATACGCATCGAAACATGATTGCATTTGTGTAGCGTTTTCTTACATGTTTTTAATGTAATATCATAAAACAAAAGTGAATATATATATATATATATATATATATATATATATCATAAGGCCATTTATATTATATAAATTATGTAAATTTAGCATAGCTTAAAATATATTTTATCATCTATCTA